GAGGATGAGGGATGAGGATGAGGATGAGGATGAGGATGAGGGTGATATGGTGGCGGGAAGCTTGGGGATGCTACCATTCGAACGGCATCTCAGTATGCCCTGACCTTATCAAGCTCCCTGAGCGCGAAAGCGGGAGGCAAGGGCTGGCTGGTGGTGGAGGAGAAACATGCGATCTGGGACTTCCTCAAACGCCGCTGCCTCGATATCGATGCCCGCACGAGGATGACTGCACAGGAGGCTCTGAGGCATCCCTTCCTCGCTAGTGGTATCAAGTAAACCGTCTCTACCCGAAGCTTTCTCCTTCCTCGCCTCTCCTCCAAGCCCTCCTCCCTTCCTCGCTAGTGGTCTTGAGTGAACCGTCTCTCCTCTGGCATCTCCCAGTCTCTCGCGATCAGCATATCAATAATTCCCAGGCTTCGCTTTTCCTTCCAACCCCTCCTATCCCCTCTCCTTCCCCCCTCCCCCCTCCCCTCATCTCTCCTCCCCCAGCCTCTCAAACTCCAATGACATGTTACAACCGCCATGCCACTGGCTGTTGAGAGCATTTCACAAGACTCAAACTGTTGTGGAATGCGTTGGGAGAAGCCTCAAAAAACGCAATCATGGCAAAGCACCAGCAAGTCTCTTGAAATATGTTTCATATACAACCGACGAAGCATTCTGGTACAGGAAGCTAGGCCGTCATCGCAATAAGGAGAATCGCATTTCCTTTATGTCTTCGAAGGTTGCCTCTCTCATCGATTCCTTTCATGTTTCCCTTCTGAAAGTGTGAAAACAGCTGATCAGGGCTTTGGAACATCAGAATTGAGGTGTTTCAGTGCAAGTATGACAAGGAAAGTCACACAATTATTGGATAGCGTGAGCATGCAAATTTGAATGCGTACCTTACAAGTCAATGCACAGTTACAACTATGCTCACAATGCTTCAAAGCATATTTGCATTTACACGCAACTCAACGAACTGAGATTCAAATATTTCCTTTCCACAAAATTCTTATTGCAACATGATATGCATCATCCTCAAAACACTCTGCTTAAAGGAAATGCAGTCGTTTTCCCACATGATACATTCAAATCTGGTCAAATTTGGCATCAAAAGATGTTCTTGTCATCACAATGATGTATTTATCTCACAACATGGTGCCCACAGGGCGCGATCTGCTTGAACGTGAGTCTCCCAAACTGACACCGTGTACAACATTGGTACATTCTGTACAACGTTTAAATTCTAGAAATGGCACGGTGCTGGCAGGATCCCACAATTTGAAATGGCGTGGTTTGACAGAAGTAAAACATTTCAAGGAAAATTTTCACTTTGAAATCCAAAACCTATTCATTAAGAAAAATCCAGGTAGAAAAAGACCCCGCCGAGACGGAATAAAATCCAGTTGAGAACCCAATGGAATGCCGGGTTCCGCCGCGCCCCCGGCCTCTGCCTGAGGGTCCCGGGCCGCCCGGGGCGGCACTGACAGTGCCCGGCCGGGCCAGGCGGACCGCCGGCGTGACATCCGGGTCACCCCGGTGATGATCCGGCGCGGCGTCAACCGTTGAACTTGGAACTTGCGGCAAGGCCGGGCGGCCGGGTTAGTCACTCAAAAGTTCGTACTGATTTTAACTTAACTTTGAGTAAATGGGCCAGGCCGGGCGGGTGGGAGACTTTAAAAGTCTTTTTAATGAATTTTTTTTATTGCGTCTTTCCCCCGATTCCCCAAATTCGATTACGTACCCCACCCACCCACCCATAACATCTTTGGCTAGCTTTCGCCGCTACCCTACCCCTTCTTCACCCACTCTTTATACCGGTACCCATACGAGACCCGTGGACCCTGTTGGTTCACATCAAGCAGTTTCAATATTCGTACCCCATCATTTTCCGTATAATGCACCCCTTCTTCAAGACCCCACCCCCTAGTCTTGGTTCCTACAAACCCCACCACCCCCTTAAACAAACACTTTCCCCTTGTTGGTGGCTAGTGCATGCGGAAACCGGAGGCGACGGAGAAGAGAGGAGAGGGGAGGAGAGGAGGAGAGAGGAAGATAGGATAGCATGAGAGCAATAGCCTTACGTTGAGCGCCAAGGCAATGGAGTGAGTGAGGATGGGACAACATTGCTTGGAGAGGAGCGACAGGAGGAGGAAATGCTGTCGTACGAAGGGGATCGCTGTTTGAATGAGGGCAGCTATGTGATTCGTATTGTATTGAGCATGCTTGCAGTAGATCCTGCACTCCTAGCAACTCTCAAGCTTGCTCTTAGTAACTGACAGTCGAAACCTGTTTGTCGAATTCCTCGAATTCCTACACATAAGCCCAGGGATCTTGAACTCTGCTAAGTATACCAGGAAGGATCAAGTTGTTTTTAGGTTGTTTAGTTGTCTGATCGTAGGTTGGATCCAGCTGCACTTCTTCTAGATATCCTAGACATTTGTGCTGAACAGAACGACGCGGAGAAAGGTTGCGATTATTTAGAATTTAGGTTATGCAAAGATGTGAGTATTTCAAAGCACATTTTGGTGATTTATGTCCCGATACAACATGCACTTGCTCAAGATGCTTGAATGATTATGGATTGAGATACTTTCTGGTTGGGTCACAATGTTTGACAAGCTAGCAAACCTCGGAACACTATGTCCCCAGTTTCTCATTCCGTGTTCAATTATGACACACATGCTTGAAGATGCTGGCATCACGATTGAAGACATCCGTCATCTCCAACTTGTCCTTGGCTACCTCGAGATCATTCACAATCAAGAGTGGTAACTTGCCTCCTGCCCCCCCATCCCTGTGTTGCTGACTCCGTCCTTCTCCGCGCCATGGCAGGGTTCCCTGTCGGCTCGGCTCGAGCATGGCTCAGTGACACGGACGTAGTGCCAGAGAGGATGCCGCTGAGCAACGCCAAGAGAGTTGTGGTCAAGGTCGGCACCGCCGTCGTCTCCAACTCCGATGGGACCCTCGCACTTTCTCGCCTCGGAGCCCTTGTCGAGCAGGTTCACGCACTTCGCCGCCGTCTCCTTCTCCGTCCTCATTCTTTTCCTCCTCGTCGTCCTCCTCGTCGTCCTCTTTATTGTTATCCTTATCGTCCTCGTCCTCGTCCTCGTCCTCGTCCTCGTCCTCTTTATTGTTATCCCCCTCGTCCTCTTCGCCCGCCTCCTCGTTCCCGTCCTCTTTATTGTTATCCTCATCGTCCTCTCACTCGCCCTTCCCCTTGTCATCCTCTTCGTCCTCCTCGTCCTCCTCGTCCGCCTCCTCTTCATCGTCTTCCTCCTCTTCATCTTCCTCCTCGTTGTCCACAGTGTAGCCTTGTCATGGCCTGGTTTTTCCTGTACTCACCCGTGTGCTTGACCTTGTCCTCTTTCTCAAACCCCTCCTGAACATCGCTGCTCTACCTGCTCTCCTCCTCCTCCTCCCCCTGGGCCCGAGCATGACACGTCTGGTAGCTCCGGGGCCTTAAGGACCAGGGACGGCAGGTCATCCTTGTCAGCAGTGGAGCAGTTGGACTCGGGCGCCTCCGCCTCGGTCTCGCCAAGGATGTTGTCGCCAACCCTGCCAACGTCATCGATCGACAAGCATGCGCAGCTGCTGGACAAGGGATCTTGATGAGCACATGTGAGGGGAGGAGGGAGGAGAGAGAGGGAGGAAGAAGATCAGGAAGACATGAGCAGGAGCGGGAGCAGGAGCAGGAGGATAACGAGGAAGATGTAGTATGGAGAAAAGGTGGAGGCAACGATGATGGAGTAGGAGAAGGCCTTGTGAGGAATGGTTCGGGAGGGAAGTGGAGAAAGCGACACATAGGGGTCAGAGAGAGAAGGAGGAGGAGATCAAATGTGATGCAAATATAGCATTGATTTGAGGAGGACACTGCTGTAGTTGTCACTTTGTTTTGACAACTATTCAGATGACATGTTGTTCCAACGCCTCGGTCTCACCTGCGCCCAAGTTCTCATCACGCAGGTGAGTTGTCAGTGAGCATAATTGGTGGAAGGAAGGTTGTAGAGGTTGTTGAGATCGGCAACCATCGTCAGTTGATGATGGTGGCGTTGATAGTTTTGATCATGTTTATGAGGACAGTGATGCAAGACTGAGTAGTTCTAGAAGGACAACAATGTTGAAGTGTTGATAGTGGTAGTGATAAGAACGAATATGAGGAGAACAAGAGAGGCTTGAAGGATGGGTCGCTCAGTGCCGAGACTGACAATGCGAACTGCAGGGCGATTTCTTGTCACGCCAGCGATACAGGTGAGGCGGGAGGATGGAAGGAGGAGGAGGGAGAGTGACAGTTTGCGGGATAGTTACCTTACAGACACGTTGGATCGACTTACTTCACTTGGTGTCATCCCCATCATCAACGAGGTATGGATCCTCAAAAGTCGTTGGGGGTGACGACGACGACGATGATGATGATGATGATGATGGTGGTGGTGGTGGTGGTGGTGGTGGTGGTGGTGGTGGTGATGATGATGATGATGATGATGATGATGATGATGATGATGATGACAGTGATGGTGATGGGGGGACGAAGAAGAAAGCGCGCGCCGAGATCTTGTGTGACAATCGCATCGAATACCATGCTAACACCCCCATGTCTGCTTGTTACAGAACGATGTTGTGACCGGATGTCACGAGCTCGACACTCAGCGAGTCTTCAGTGACAACGTGAGACTCTGCAAATGTTTCTTCCTCCACCCATCCTCTTCGATCCTCAGCTTGTCCTTTATCTTTGCCTCCTCCAATCTCTTTTATACTCCTCCTCCTCATCATCATCTCCCCTCCTTCCCCTCCTTCCCCTCCTTCTCCTTCTCCTCCTCCTCCTCCTCCTCCTCATCATCATCATCATCATCATAATCCTTCCTTGTCATCATCATCATATAGATAATAGTCCTGCCTTGTCATCCCATTGCTGTCCATCACGTATTCTGTGCTCACCCTTCTCCAGGATAAGCTCTCGGCGCTGCTTGCTGCTGGTTCAGACGCTGACGGCCTTGCTCTTCTCACAGACGTACTGATACACCTCATTTCACTGTCATATCATTTACTCTCCTTCTTCTTACTTGTTCTTTCCCATATTCTTCTCTCTCCTTTCCTCTTCCTCCCTCTTTGTTTGCTCTATTCTCTCTTCATTTGTGCTTTTCCCACTCAGTTTCAACTTATATCTTTCTGCTATCTCTCCGCTACATTGATTCAAACATCAAAGTCCTCCAATCTCACATCATCTTCATTGATGTATCATTGCTCCCCTTAACCCCCATTGTTCAATCATCATATCATGCATCAAATCCCTTCACATCTTCTCATTGGCCGGTTGCACCTATTCTTCCTCATCTTGTCCTGGTTGCAGGTCGAGGCTGTCTTCACCAAGCCTCCCGACCAGGAGGGAGCAGAGAGAATCAAAGTCTACAACTCCCTCACGGCTGTCGAAATCGGTAGGAGGAGGAGGAGGAGATGAGGGGGGAGGGGAAGAAGAGCAGAAAGAGGAGGAGGAGGAGGAGGAAAGTAGTTTCAATTGCTGCAGAGGGTGTGACTTGTATCAAAGGCGAGAAATCATCCATGGGAAGGGGAGGGATGGCCTCTAAGATCGGAGCAGCGAGGTTCAACATCCTAACTCCTCCTCCTCCTCCTCTTCTCTCCCCTTCCCAATTATCTTCTGTCTAGTCACCTCCTCCCTCCCCTTCATCCTCTCCCTTTCTCTACCGTCTTCCTCCCTCCTTTCCTTCTTCCTACCAGTCTCCCCCTGCTCTTCATCTCTCTCCTCCCACTTTCGTTGTCTCATCGTAACCCTCTCCCCCTGCCTCCTCTGTATCTTCGTGTTCTTCTCTTCCCCTGACGCTCATCACAGGGTCGCTGCGCTAGGAGGAGTTCACACTGTTGTGGCTAGCGGCTACGATCTTGACAACATCGCCAAAGTCTTTGCGGGAGCAGACGTTGGAACACTCTTCCCGGCCTCGGTAAACAGCTGCTCCTGACCGTGCTGCTCTTCTTCTGCTCCTGCTCCTGCTCCTGCTCCTGCTCCTGCTCCTGCTCCTGCTCCTGCTCCTGCACTCCTGTTTCGATCCTCCTGCTCTATAACTTCAGTCTCAATCTACCTTGTCTCCTTCCCTTTTCTTCTCTCATCCTCGTTTGTCTTGTTCTCTCCCTCTCACTGTTTTCTCAGGCGAGGCCCAACAAGCGCCAGCGGTGGCTCACTTTTGCCACTGTCAGCGAGGGGAAAATCCGCGTCAAGGCAGCGGCTAAAGACCGACTGATCTCTTCCTCTGCTGCCCAGGTATCCCCCGTCTCTCCCTCTGCCACCTCCTCCGCTCTCTTGGCTTTGCACTTTTCTTTCCCCCTCTACCCATTTCCTTCTTCTCTCCCTTCTCCCTTCCCTCTTCTTTCCCCTCCTCCTCATTCTTCCCTTCCCTTCCTCCTCCTTCACCTCTTACTTCTCTTACTCCCCCCCTCCCCTCCTTCTCCTCTACTCTCCTCCCTTTCCCCTCCTCCTGCTCTCTCCTGTGTGCTTTTCTTCGTCCTCTTCTCTGCTCTCTTCCCTTACTCTTTCCTCATCGTCTCCTCTCGTTTCATGCTCCCTCCTCCCTCCCTCCCTCCCTCCCCTCCCTCTGCGTTTCCTTCCCTCCTCCCCGCCGTTTTCCTTCTACTCGTGACCTCCTGCTCTCTTTCTCGCCTTGTTCTGATTCCTCGAAAGGCTCTCCTTGCAAACGATCTTGTCAACATTTATGGAGATTTCCCCGATAGAGCGGTAAGAGACTGAAATTAGGAGGAGGAGGGAGGAGCAGGAGCAGAGGAGGAGGGGGAGGAGGAGCAGAGGAGGAGGGGGAGGAGGAGGGGGAGGAGAAGAGGAGGAGGAGGAGCATAGGAGGAGGGGGAGCAGGAGCAGGAGGAAGGAGGAGGGGAAGGAGAGAGAGGAAGTTGTGATAGAGGTGATGGATGAACGATGTTGACGGATGGCTTGGTCGTCGTCTGACCGGACTGGCAGGTTGTCACTGTGGAGGACCAGGACGGTGTTGAGTTTGCGCGAGGGATGGTGCAGATGTCAGCAGACAATATGAGAAAGGAAGTGCAGGTAAGGAGGGATGAGAGGACGAGGAGGGGAGAGTGGAGCGGGAGAGCAAAGTGGAGGAGAGAGAAAGGGAATGGGAGGGAGAAAGAAGGAGAGCATGGAGGGCAGGGTGAGGGAGGTAGGAAGGAGGAGAGGAGGCAGGTGGTGGCAGGAGAGAAGGGAGGGAGGAGGAGGGGGAAAGATCAAGGATGAGAAGGGGGAGGGGGAGGAGGGAGACTGAGGAGCGATGTAGGGTTCTCACGAGACTGAGCAGGAGGCTGGAGGAAAAGTTACCTTCTCATCCGCACA